GGCAAATCAGCAAACGGCATACATTGCAAAACGGCTTTGTTTATTTACCTTAGAAAAAGAACGGAAGATTTTTTTTGAAGTCTACCTTTTCATTCGTAAGGTAGGTTTGTGTTTTCTTTCTACTCAATTGAAATTATTAAGCCAGCCAGTTCAAGTAACTATTTTTTTTTTGTTATGTGAGTAAGTGGCAAACGCGCTGGCGGTTCACCCAATGTTAAGTTATAACCACCGCTCAATGACATTCGCCACCCCCCAGAGGTTGCGGTGTTGCCACCTTTTGGGGCACCTAGCCTGAACCTCGGGCGTGGCCCTACAGTCGAAGTATTTATAGATCTCTGAGCTAAAAAACATTTAACCATTCATTTTATTTGCACCGATGAATTTTAAAGCGAATGGATAAAGCATACAATAATGACAATGGGCAATCAAAGCCACACGTTGCAATGATAAGGTTACGTAAGTTTTCCGTCTGTATTATTTGATTAATCGATGTTCAAGTGTTTCTGCAAATTGGAGGCAAGGAGTCATTAGTATGCGTTATGCACTAGCCTATTACAAGAGAAATTCCTTCATAATTGCATTCAAAACGCAAACTATGACGTAATACACCAGGCACGACTTTAGGTCGTGGCTCAGAAGGGGTTGACCCCCGCCCGTCTTCCAAATTCAAATTAATAAATAATAAAATATATATAGTAATATTCTTATTTTAGCCAACGTGAGTATCAACAGTAATTAACTCCACACATGAGTCGTTGAGATAATCCGCAATGGTATATTCCACGACAAATGTATATTAGGTACATATTTTCACTAATTATACTGTCAATGCTATGATTTTTTATTAAAAAGAAAATGTTTCATTGATGTTTTTTTTCTCACAAAAGGGAAAATATAAAAAAATCTTTTCGTACTTTTTCTACATGTTTTAATGTTCAATCTTAAGTGCAGAAATAAGCACTATAAAAAACTTTAAAAATATAAAAAAATTAAAAAATAGATCGATTTATCGTCCCCGGAACCCCCGCATACCAAATTTCATGAAAATCGTTGGAGGTGTTTCCTAGATTCAGATTTTATATTTACATTGTATATACAAGAATTGTTCGTTTAAAGGTACTAAATAAATATATATTATAAATAAATATAAATAACGCATGTCCATACTGCGCGGCGTTTAAAATTTTTTCCGCTTTACATTATATGACAATAATTTAAGTGAATGTCACATGTGACAGATGATATAGAAGGTACGATAATTAAAGAGATAGCAGCTTATAGAATTGCAATCTATTTACACATTTAGTGTATTTTCGGAGCGCTAGTGTTATAATCGACACGTACTCGATTTCCCTGACGATTAGACGACTATCGCCATCGACAAGGTCAAAAAATACAGGCAGGTTTTCCCCAGTTAATGATAGAAGCGTTGCTGGAGTTTCTTCCGCCATTTCTCTCAACGCACTCCGAAGTGGTAGTAATGATAGCTTTAGAAATCCTCCCAGTCAGACAACAGCTACCGAGCCGAGGTCCGATCCTCTCAGACACCCTCGAATAGAAACGCTAAACGGGTATTGAGTGACAGCCCAAGCCGAGGTCCCCTCTTGAGCGCCCTGGAGCCTAGTCACTCCATAGAGCGTCCGCCAAAACGACCTAAGAGCTCCCAAACCGGCGAATATAATAATAGCGAGATGGCCCGAGCCAAGGTTACCTTGGGAGGCCTTGAGCTTAGTCACCATAACGCGTAACCGAGGTTCAGGCTAGGCGCCCCGAGCGCCCGGCCATCTCAAGTCCGGCGGATATGTAAAGGCTCCTAAGGCCAATCCGGTCAAAAACAAAAACAATGACGCATCGCCTACTTTTCAGTTTTTCAAATTATGTTTCTTGTTTAATTGCAACAAAAATTTTACATTCAGAAAAGTACTAAACTCAATATTGTAATCATGTACGTGCATACGAAAATAAACATTGAGCAAATTAAAATAGAATAAGGAGATATTATAATTTGTAAACAAAAGCGACGAACAATCACTTCACCGAAAGGTTTCAATTAGTTCTGATAATGTTATCGTTCGTCGTACTAAAGTTTGAGACAAAACATCAAGGCATATCGGTAAAGTGTAACTGCGAGGTTTAATTCAAGTTATATGCATAAGAACAAAAACGATATTACCATAGAAAATAACTCGAGTGTACTTTTACTAAACTGATCGCCCGACGACTACACTCGACTAAAATGATATCAATAGAATTATGAAATACATTTTAAAACTATGAAACTATCAAAACAATGACGAATGTGAAAAATAATAGCATATCTGGAAACATAGATTAATTAAATATGTGAAATAATCAACAAAAGCAAAGAGATGACTTCTTGAAATAATTCTTGTATCGCCTCTTTGTATCGCCGTATAATAGATGATGGTACGGAACCCTTCGTGCGCGAGTCCGACTCTCACTTGGCCGATTTTTTTTGCCATACCAAACCTACGCCATACAAAACCTATAGGGTACTTCCGGTTGACCTAGAATACAATTTTCGTTAAAAGCAAGATCTTAGAGCACAAAAAAATAAAAAAGTTGAAACGTAAGGTAAATTTTGGTACTTGCAAGTTCTCGAAGATCTAAATTTGCCCATATATTTTTAATATGTTGATTCAGAACCGGACTATAGATTTCAGTATCTGGTATAAATTTTAACTTGCTAGGTCGGAAGGAAAATCGGTGGTGACACACGTGCTGACAGACCGACAAGAAATTAATCTTATAAGGGTTCCTCTTTGTATCTTTTAATGTACGGAACCCTAAAAATATTACTCTTGATTTACTTTTGCTCGGATGAACGCGTGAAAGGAATATCGTATTTCGTCGTAGTATACAGGGTGGCTTTCCTAAAGGTGCCAAAATTCACACAGGAGGTTCAGACTCGGTAGTATAATCGTTTATTGAAATATCAAACTTTTTTTTTTTAAAAAATCCATTCTCTTCCCTAAAAAGGGAACTTGTTGACAATGCGGTAGTCATTCATAAATGCGTCACATACTTTTGAAACGAACTTGTGTACGTGTTAGTTATGAATCACGCACTTTTTGAGATAAGTTAAAATGATTGTTTTGACTCCGTGGCGCAGTTGCCAAGGTATTGGCTTCGGCGTCGGGGCTCGTGGGTTCGATTCCCACACGGTACAACTATTTGTGTGACCCACAGATGTTTCGCATCTGGGTGTTTGTCCGCGTGAAATTTATGTTTGCAAAACGTCCTTACAATACAGGATACTGTTATCCTAAAGTAAGAATGTAATGAATTAATTACGAGTGATTTTAAATATCTATCATTTTTATTTTTTATATCTATTTATATCTAACAAAAAATGGATACACTTAGAAAAGCCTCCCTGTATAGCATAGGCCTCAAATTGATTTAGGAATCTAATAATCTAAACCGAACCTAAATCCGCCACACCAAAAATATCAATGGCGTTCGTCAGGTTCAACGTTTGCATATTGTTCGTGCACGCGGCTCGCTGTTACTGTCAATAAATTTCAGATGGTATATTTCAGGCCGGTTCCCAAGGGCTACGAATAAGAAAAAGTTGCTAATTCATTAAACCGGTCGAGAAAGGCGATGAAAACTGTTACACAATATTTTCCTAAATTTCCACTTGGCGGCATCTGACCAAACTTTAAATTCAAAAACATATAACTTAGGTATATAAGCTTAAATGCGATAAAAACAAAAAAAGTAGAAACAATACGTTGAGATCGTCGGTGTCAGGCGTTTAGCTTAGTGGTTAAAGAGTCTGCGTCGTGAATCTGTAAGACTTGAGTTTGATTCTCGCAGCCACGACAAATTTTTCGCCCATTTTTTCTACAAATTATAATATTTTAATTTATCACAAAAAGTTTCTTTGTTTTAAAGATTGGTTCAAATAAAATGATTGACAAGTAATTTAAAGTTAAGAGTTCTACAAAAGAAAACATAAAGGGACCTTGTATTTGGTAAAAAATGCAATTTTTTTTAGTCAACAACTTTATCTATGCAATTAACGGTCATTCCCATAAATAAGTGCTTCGCAAAATATTGTATGAATCAGTTACAAAACAATGATATGTGATATTCTACTGTAATACTTTTATATAACACTAGCTACACAGCCCTCTCATTCATGGGTAGAAGAAGCTAAGTTAATTCTTTTAAAAGTAAAGTAAAGTAACAGCCTATACATGTCCCACTGCTGGGCAAAGGCCTTCTCTGTACAGAGGGTATCAGGGCATAGTCCACCACGCGGCCCCACTGCGGATTGGCGGACTTCACATATCTTCGAAAAAAATTTTTTTTTTTTGTTATTATTTCGAAAATATGCAGGTTTCCTCACGATGTTTTCCTTCACCGCGGAGCACGTGATAAGTCAGCACTTAAAGTTAAAAACTTTATTGGTGCCGGCACCGGGGATCGAACTCAGGTTGCTCAAGTATATTGAAATAAAGGCGAGCGCCCGGACACTGAGCTATCACGGCTCATAAGTTAATTCTTTTATTTCACAATATATCATAATACTTGACATGATAGAAATAATTATTGCTGTTATTTCGAAGTTGATCTTAAGTCTTATATTAACAGCAAACAATGGCAGTCAAAATAAGACAATTTTTCCACTTCTTAATATTGGGATACATAATCTTTAAAATTGGCAGAACACCCGTACATCATTACGCTTGATAGTCTTATAAATATTAAATCAACAGAAACCATTGTCAGTTTTAATTTTTTTTTATTTGTTTGATTACCATGGGTCTACTGTTCTCTAAAAATTCTAATCTGGATTAAAAAGAGTTTGAATATCACTTGTTTATCTTACAAATGAAGGAATTACACATTTTGCGAGCTAACAAATGACGTTTTAACTCAAAAAAGAATTTTATTTTCAATGTTGGATTGAAAAGTATGACAAGATAAAAAATATTTTTTCTTCATTCATATTTTTTAAAGAGACTTACCGTATTCCGCATTCCATTACTAAAAGCACAAAACCATAAAGCATGCAGCGTGCAGCATATGCTTTTAATATGACACGGAGCAGACTTGGAGTACGTTTAGCTCCCGCACGTGCAACCTCTTCCTCCCACAGACGAGCAAACTTGTCACCCAAAGGGCCTAAAAGTATTTTTAAATGTAGGTATATTTATAATTAGTGAGAACATTTGCATTTTATATTAAGTGATTTAACTCTGTCCTTATGTGAAAAGTTGTGAAAACAGCAGGCAGTTCAATGATTTTACATAAGTGATTTTAAGTGCCCATAAACATATACAACACCTAAAGGCTTGCAGATGCTTAGACAGCCTTTAAAAAAATGAGCCCCTGTTACCTAACTAACCAGACAAGATTTGAAAGTATAAGAGAGGCTGCGGTACTTCCCTGGACTAGCCTGCACATCCGTGAGACCGCAGAAGCTATTGTGTGGTTTATAGTCAATATCAAGAGTTAAGGCATTTGAGCACCTAATAACTTATGGCAGAATTATTTCTTAACTTATCACTAGTGGCAGTATAATAATTTTTACTAAATGTTCACTGGTGTCAGACTAGAAACTTCCTATATTAATAAGTGCAATTAATTTTTATGCAAAAATTTGCAAGATTCAAGAATTACTTACTTGATGCATGTTCATCTAATGGTTCATATAAGTCGTGCTCCTCCATTTCTTTTTTTAAACCACCCCAAAATATTGGCAATGTCCACCTAAAATAGAAAATATTATATAATCAAGTTTTAAAAAAATCAGCATATATGAACATGTTTACTTACGCAAACGTTAATGCTGAGAGTGGGTTTGCACTCGCCCTTGGGTTTGGCGGTTTACCCCTTCTTTTGGTAGACTCCATGGTGAAAGACCTACAATGAAATATTTGATAAATTTTATAAAAAAAAAAATAATTTCATCTCAAATGTTCTTATTTTAATAAAATATTTAAACTTTTTGTGAGTCTTGTGTTGGTCATGTGCCAAAAATAACACCAAGAATGGTTTTTCAAATGGTAAGGTTATGAGAAAACGACATGGTAAAAAATTTGTTAAAAATTTAGTATATTTATGATTTGAATAGCAATGGCTAGATATCCTTATTACACATACGTTATGAATATCTATTTTTAATAAAATACTCACCAATAATCACGGCTCAATTGGGATGAGGAAAAGTATGTTTTTTTTAAACAATGAACTTTTGCATTTCGTATGGCAGTATTCTTCTACACAGAAACATAAAACAATAGGAATCCGTATTATTTTTCTCAGCCGCCTAAACTTGGTGTTGTAAGTACCCGCATTTACAGTAAAAACCGTTGAAGTATTAACGTTACAATATGGAGAACAAGTAAAAAAAAGTATTTGTAACGCGTAGCTAAATAGTAAAAAAATTAAGAAATATCAACAAAACACAAAATAATTAAATACGATACTTCAATCTCAGAACCACCAGACGATAACATTTAATACAAGACTGAAGGAGGAAGACTGAATCTGAATACTAATTTAACGTCAATTTTGACAACACAACTTTCAGCTGTTTGACATTTATGGTGACAGATAAGAAACTAAGTGTCAAAGATTACATTTAGTTACAAGCAAAGAGTACATTATAAACGGTTACAAGTGAGTCGGCAGACATTATATTTTCACACTGATATGTCATGCAGAGTTACTATAATATCAATTTTGCTTTTTTAACTAACGTGGGGTCCCTGCACATCACAATTTTTTAAAGTTTATGTCCTAGGCTTAACGCCGTAGCTGGTGACAAGAAAACTGGTTCTATTCTCGCTCAAAGGTTAAGCATAACTATTCAGCGAGGAAATGCAGCTAGCGTTCTTGGCACCATGCCGCGTGGATTAGGTTTATTAGATAATATGTAATTTTAGATAGATTTAATCTTGTAAATATTAGATCAATAAAGATTGTTTAAAGTGTAAAAAAAAAAGTTTAACTATGTTGAATATTACTTAACAGTGTTTGAGAATTAACAGTGTTCGTTGGCGCATTCATTGCTTACCGCCAAAAAAGTAAACACGAGATTTTTTTTTTTGTGTGAAATTTTGGCAAACGCGCTGGTAGTTAACCTGATGTTAAGTGATACCCAGCGACCGCGGACGTTTACAACACCCGCAGGTGCATTGCCACCTTTCAATAAAGATTTCCCCTCTCACACAAAAGCGTCTAAAGTCAATGCGTAGGCAAACGCCAGCAGTTGCCACGCCCGACAAAGGATCCAGTAATCACCATGATCATCATGCCTAGCATCCCCTACATTACTTACGAACCGTGTCGTAAGGCGATTTCGATGTTGATAAAAAAATAACACATAAAATAAGCACGGTGCAAAATACGCAATAACACGGACAATCTCAATTCGATTACCCCTCAGTGATCGAAGCCATTAAAAGCACGCCATAAATCGGTCACGAAATTACATAGGTCGCGTCATCATTGCAGTCCTGGCTGTCATGAGAAGGCAAAAGCGCATGGCCATACTCCAATCTCTCACTAATTCAGTCGTGGTTCGCGTTATGGTAGATGGTGTGGTGTGCTATCCTATGAAATTCCGAGAACGGTATTACCCTGAATATAATCAAATTTAAAAGAGATAAAACATACTGTTAGAAGGAGAGACTTGTAACGCATCGCTGTTTCAATAAATGAAATAGTCTCTGAATATATGATTCTGTCAGTTGTAGCTGTATAGAAAATTACAAATTTTATTTAATTAATTTGTTAGAAAATTATTTATTTTTTAATTATGGATTTTTTTAAAGTTTCTATTTTTATGATTATTAGCAAGTAGTGTTAGAAGAAGTATGTTGAAGATGACGAGATTGCCGAATGCCTCGCTGATAGCCTCAATTTTATATAATCAACTTGCACACAACCCACTAACCCTGTATACTAGCGCAAAGTGAATTAGGAAGTGTAAAATAGATCCGCAGCTTCACCAACTCACCCTCTAAACATCAAACGAAACAAAACCATCCCTTCAAACACATCGACACATGACTGCCGCGATTCGGTTAGGAAGAACCTAAAAAAGTTCTTTGCAAACCAGCCATGACTTAATCTCCAACCGACCAAGTGCCGACCCCCCCCCCCCCCCCCCTCCTTTGTCTTTCATTTGCAATCCTTACGGTACGTGGAAAGAAGCGCACATTATCGAGATTATTAAGCCGAATAAGCGCTAAAACTTAGCGTCTAATTCCCAAACTATAGGGCTGTGAGATAACGAATGCGTTATCAAGGATTAGGCAACATTTTAATCCCAATGAGCTGTTCAGTTTTATACACGAGCAATCTTCAAGTGCATCGCTTCACAAAGTTTTCAAATCATCCCTCTCCGATCACCAACTCCCAAAAGGACTTAAAGGGGCCCATTCACTATCCTGCCTGGCAGTTAGCCGTGCAGGACTGCAAAGCAGGATGTAGCCCACACACTATCCTGCAAGCCGTCCATCGTCTCTCAATAGTGTCAGTGTTGTTGTTGTAATAATTATGGATTTACGTGTCGTTTCGAAAAAAAAAAGAAAATGGCGAGGTTTTCTTGTTGTTAGATAAAAAGGTTTTATTAATAAATAACCTTTCCTCACATTATCATACTAATACTACTAATATACATAAAATTTTCTCAAATTCAACTATTTCAATATAAAAAAGGTTTTTTAGCTTAGTTTTAGTTATCACATCAGTCGCTTCCCGGGATGGACACGTTTTTTTTGTTTAAAATAAAGTACCTATTCCTGTGTAGATATTTTCACACATGTGAATAAAATTTAATTCCTAAAATATTTCTAAAAAAATTACTTCAAACAAAATTTCTATTGTAAATATGTACTGTTTTAAAAAATAAAAACTTCCTAATTTAGCATCCGTATTTTCGTATAAATAGCGTAATTTTGTTATAGGCTTAGTGCATATTTTTTTCTTCATATGGCAGCACTGCCGATTCGCAAGATGGCCAAACCACTGACTCTCCTGCGCGGCGGACTGCAAGCGGTGGGCGGAGCTTGCAGGACCCTTGCAGGATGCAAGGCGCGTCCTGAATAGTGCGATAGTGAATGGGCCCCTTAAGGGGCCCATTCACTATCCTGCCTGGCAGTCCGCCGCTTTATGCAGGATTGTGAATGGTGTTGCAGGCCTGCAAAGTTTCTGGCAACACCGAGCAGGACGCGCCTTGCATCCTGCAAGGGACCTGCAAGCTCCGCCCACCGCTTGCAGTCCGCCGCGCAGGACCGTCAGTGGTTTGGCCGTCCTGCATAGCGGCAGTGCTGCCATATGATGAAAAAAAGACGCACTAAGCCCTTATCAAAATTGCGCTATATTATACGAAAATACGGATGCTAAATTAGGAATTTTTTGTCGTAAATTTAGACAGTACATATTTACAATAGAAATTTTGTTTGAGGTAATTTTTTTAGAAATAATTTTAGGAATTAAATTTTATTCCCATGTGTGAAAAAATCTACACAGGAATAGGTACTTTATTTTAAACAAAAAAAAACGTGTGCATCCCGGGAAGCGACTGATATGATAACTAAAACTAAGCTAAAAAAACTATTTTATATTGAAATAGTTTAACTTGATAAAAGCTTATGTTATTACTTAAATTTTAAGTATGATAATGTGAGGAAAGGTTATTTATTAATAAAACCTTTTATCTAACAACAAGAAAAACTCTCCATTTTCTTTTTTTGTCCGAAACGACCCGTAAATCCATAATTATTACAACAACAATACTGACACTATTGAGAGACGATGGACGGCTTGCAGGATAGTGTGTGGGCTACATCCTGCTTTGGAGTCCTGCACGGCGGACTGCCAGGCTGGATAGTGAATGGGCCCCTATAGACGCAGTCACGTGCGGCTACTTTTATTCGAAGTTTCGAAGGCATTCAACGTAATTTGACATAACGGCTTATTTAAAAAGCTGTACTAGGAGCGCTAGAAAAACTTGTGAAAATCATACGAAACTACTTGACGAAATGTCAATTTCAAGTCAAGAATCTCATCCTCAAAGATAATACAATATATATGATATGCACCCGCCCTGATGCTCAGAGCAGCTATCGCGCTTAGATCGGTATTATCCATCTTGTAATCCCTACACACTGGCGACATCGATTTCGATACTTGAACCTCTACGGGAAACCACGGCTAAAAAGTTTATAACAAAAGAACCTTAAAAAAATGTTGTCTGGACATTTTCCTTAGAATAAAATATACCCCGATTTCTATCTCCACAGATAATGCCGTTATCCCCAGTTCGGGTATATATAAAAGCACTCGTGGTCCTGCGGTTGACTTTAAGTTGATCGTTAACATTGACTTGACGTTTTAGAATACTAAATCGATACTTGCTAAATCGCGTACCAGGTCTTAAAAGTACGTCCACGTTCTCATACCAGGTACAGAAACCAGGTAGTATCACAATACTTTCGAAGTATTTTCCGTCCAACGCAACGAGTCGAATGCTTGTTTCCTTGCAGATTTAAACCTTGTTTCTATATAGACAAGATTCAAAATGTTACATTCAAGACGTAAAACACTTTGAAAGTATTTTATTTCACAATAAGCACAATCTGAACCTTATATGTTATTAATTATGTTTTTTTATGTTTTTAAGTTATCTAACCAAGTGAGAGAGACACACCAGGCGAGACCGATACACATTGCTTCGCCATCGCACGGCGCACGCCCAGGAATGCTAATTTAAGAATTTTCTTCCTAAATTTAGGAATAAAATAAGTGGAATGGAAGTTTTTTAGGAGGTACATTTTTACGGGAATATTTTTTTAGGAGTTAAATTTTCGAATAAAAGTAAAACTACACAAAACTGCTTATTTAAAAAAATTAAATAAAATTTTACAGTTTTAAATCGTTGGTAGTACCTAGTAATACTTATTTGAAGGGCTCGTATACTTTAATGGAAAAATACTTTCAAGTCTTGCAAGTATATCGGGTCTGTATACTTGCAAGTAAATACCTGGTATCAATATTTTGTAACTGATAACGTAAATACGCACCGTCTCTAGTTTTATCTATGTTATTGTAATGTAATAAAATAGTTAATAGGTACATACAATGAACAATCATACAATACAAATCAGATATATAAAAGTACTAATTGTTACAAATCTGAATTTAGATACAATATAATGAGATAAAATGCTTTTTAAATAAAAGTAAGAACGAATTTATGAAGTGTTAAACAAAAATAATGTTTTTATTCAATATACCTAACAGAAAGTAATAAGGCTTACAATAGTGTATTATCGTATTTATAGCCATGATTTACATTATAATTTAATATGATATTCATTCCTTTGCGAAAGTATGGGGCAATGGTTCTTCTCAGTGTGTTTTTTTTCTACTTAGGATGTTGTCTTACATTAACCTTCACGCGTATAGATTGTTCAACTGAAACTTCATTTAATAACGCTTATACGCAAAACGAACATAAAAATAATTATACGACTGCTAATTATATTGTATTAATTGTTAGTAGCCCTAATAACAAAGCTAAACGAGATGCAATAAGGGCAACATGGGCAAGTTTTGATAATAATATATTTATTGCGAATGGTGAACTTGTATATAAATGGAATTATACTGTTATAAAAAAAACACAAAAAACCCTTATTAAATTATATTTTGCTGTGGGAACTTTGGGATTAAACGAAATAAAACTTGAGACATTAAATAATGAACAAAAACGCAGTGAAGACATGTTATTCCTTCAAAATGTTGAAGATAGTTATAAGAATTTGTCATTGAAAATGTTACATGCAATGCACTGGCTGAGTAGGAATTTAAAGGAAATGAAGTATGTAATAAAATGTGATGATGATTCTTTTGTTAGGGTTGATTTAATAGTAAAAGATCTCAGTGCATTTGCCCCAAGTATGAGTGCACCACAATTAAGCTCGTTTGTTTCATTAAAGGTACTCATAAAAATATTTTTAATTTATTAAAAGTTGTAGAAGAGAAAAAAACATTTTCGCTGCTGTGGGAATTGAATCCATGTCTTTGGGATTTGCATACAGACGCTTTAACTAAACTTAAACAACTGATTGCCACACCAACGAAAACCTTAGCATATTCATTCACCATTGTTATTTGTAATTTTAAATAAATTATAGTGCCTTTAAATATGTTATGATTATTTATTTTATGTGCATTGTAAAGTTATTAGAATTTTTCATCATTTTAATTATTTCAGGATGGGCTTAACTTATATAAAGGATTATATTGGGGTTACTTTAATGGTCATGCTAAGGTATACTTAAATGGCAAGTGGCAAGAGAAAGATTGGTTCTTGTGTGATAATTACCTGCCTTATGCACTTGGTGGTGGTTATGTAATTTCACGCAGCATCGTAGACTATATTGCAAACAACATAGACATATTAAGGTTTGTTATATTATAGTATTGTCAAGAATATTTTTGTAGTTCAGTTCATTGTGCTTGGATCTTTTACTTTAATAACTGATTTATAGTTATATATGCTTAAAGATCTATGCAACAGATATTAGCACTAAAGCTTACTTATACAGCCATCAGATATTAGCTAGTAGATGTATAGGGGCCAACAGGTGATGTGGTGTGCCGTTGCCGAGCTATTGGCTTCGGCGCCGGGGGTTGTCGATTTGAATCCCATATGGGACGAGTATTTGAGTGACCCACAGATAATTGTCCTGAATCTGGGTGTTTGTTTCCTAAGGAAAGTTGACCTCAGGCAGGTGGTTGGCTGATTGCACCTAGGTGGGATAAGGGCAGCAGGGTAATGATGATGATGAAATAAAAGGGGCCAAGAACAATTTGAAAAAAATGTCGTACTTTAGTAACCAGGGCCTGTAATAAAAGCTGGCAATGTATCTACACATTTAGGAAAACTTATATAACCATATTATAATTTTATATATTTAATTAACCATTGTCCATTCCAGCTATTATAATGCAGAAGATGTTTCAATGGGTGTTTGGACTGCTTCATTGAATGGAATTAACAGAGTTCATGACATTAGATTTGATACTGAGTGGATATCGCGAGGTTGTGAGGAAACAATGTTAGTAAGGCACAAGCAAACACCAAGTGACATGTTATTGATGTATAAGACATTGGTCCACTCACATGGAAAAAAACTTTGTAAGTCTGAAGAATTAAAAAGAAAATCATATTTTTATAACTGGAATGTTCTGCCTAGCATGTGTTGTAATAAATCTTAAAAGAATTAAAAAATTTAATCTCTAGTCATAAGTTTAAATGTCATGTTCATATGAAATAAATAATTAAATAGAAATAAGTCAATAAATTTGTTTTATTCACATATTAAAGAACACAACAATATATATTTTTTAAAATTAACATTTATAATAAAATTAATCAGAATTCAATTGGTCAAGATATACAATATTTGCTCTGTACAAAACTTATCATCAAAAGAAAATTTATTCTAATATGCAGTTCAGTTTCCTTTTTTTGGGGTCTATAATTTTTCTTACTCTGTACATTAAATTGCATTCATTGTTTTAAATATAAAATTTGGATTAATGTGAAGTATATTTATCCTACAGTTGAAGAGATCCTTCATTTTCTCATAAAAGTTAGTTCGGTCTTGATGTCTATAACTCAACAAAAACAGTGGTACATTTAATTTATAAAATATATATAAACAATAAAACTGACCCGGCAAATGTTTTGCCATATAAATTATTTGTAGGGTAGAAAAAAATGTTTGGGTTGGACCACCCTTAATATTTAGGGGGATGAAAAATAGATGTCCAATTCTCCACCGCGGCGATATGCACACAAAATTTCACGAAAATGGGTTGAGCGGTTTCGGAGGAGTTCAATTACAAAAACCGTGACATGGGAATTTTATATATTAGATGTAATGAATGTAACTCATTTTTAAAAAAATTATACATTTTTAGATACTGCAAAAGATGCTCACTCCTCGTGTTATGCTTGAGCTGATTTTCAAACATATATATATATATATATATACACTAATATCACATTAGTAGAGGATTAAATCAAAACACACCTTTCTAATGAGAAGTTTTAACTTTAAAATCAATGTATGTTTGATTGTTATAAAATGTGGTTCGTGATAATTCCTCCTTAAAATAGTCTATTGTTCTCTGAAGTCCATCTTGTAGTGAGACCTGAAATGTGAAGACAAATTATTTTTAATTTCTAGAGAATGATTACATCCACCATTCTAATATTTGTCTGTCAGTCAATCAGCTAGTCCCTAAATCAAAAATCAAATAAAAAACCTGTGGCACTCGGGGACTGCCACAGTAAAGCTATTGCATAGCATTTTTTATCAATTTGTACAATTATAATTATTTATTTATGTAGTTTTTTTTTTTCATTAATATTAATTCAAGTTACACTTTTTGAGAGTGGTGACCAATAAGAAAACTATTCTTTTTTCTTTTATTAAATAAATGAGAAGTTATTATCGATTAAAATATTTTTATTATCTTATAATACATGTAGGCTATTCAGCAATTTTTATCATTAAAACTATAGGTTTATGGTAACTGAAAAAAGAAACAAGCTTGAGACTTGATATCCTCTAAATATCATATCATCATAGGACAATATAATATTATAATATCCATCCATGCGAGCTTCGTACAGACGTACCATATACATACATGTTTAGCGAACGCTCGGCAGAGCTACATGGTAGGCGGAGTGGGGGGTGTTAGGTTTTATTTTCTTTACGGAATTTCTTGATTCGGTCACCGCGCTCAAAGACCGCGATAAAAGCTATGCAATAGCTTAAAAATTGTGTAGTTATAAAGTAAGTGTTCTTAAATTATATACCAACATGCAGTGGGAGTGAGGAAAGTCAATTTGACCTAATATAAATATTTATTATTTTTTAATATTTATTATTTAAATATTTATTATTATTTGAAATTACACTGATGTAATTTCAAATAACTCTTATAAATATTTATAAAAATAATAAACGCCAAATATAAATAATCTCAGGATATGCATTGCATATGGCAAAGGACTAGCTTATATTTTTTTAATCTGGAGAATGGAAAAGTGGTCTATATGACATAGTTAGTAGGAGTTGGAACTCTCCTGCCTATCAAATATTAATTTGATATTTTTTCTCAAAAGCATGTCAGTGCTTGACATCCATCTAGTTGATGATAATTGGTGACATAATCTTAGATATTCTAGCCTTGAAGAAATATTATAATTGGAAATATTATAATAAAAATTTCCTTACTCTGAGATAGTACAGATTGTAGTATTTGCATACATTGTAAACAAATTGTATTCATGTTTGATATAAAATGATGCTAAATACAATCCTGTTTGCTGACTTTAAATTGATTTATACAACGCTTTAAAGCATATATGCAATGATACAGCATGGTTTTATAACCGCGACCCTTAGTGAACACAATGCTAACGCTACTTGCCAATAATCATACAAAAATATAAATATTAAAACATCGAAGACAAAGTAATTAAATAAAAAAGAAACAAATTTTTTAACATCCTATACAACCTCCCCTTTCCTTCTAACAGTATGGGTCTGTCTTTCAAATTCATTCAACATATTAATATGCTTTGTGACCATAACAAATGAAATTTATGGTACAGTTTTATATGTACCATCCGTGCATACTTCCTGTCTCTAATTATTTGTTTTGGAGAATTGAATTTACTGTAAACATTGATGTTTAATAAAAGTAAATATTTAATACAAATTTAAAATTAATATACAATTAAAAGATTTTCATTACATTTAGTATCACAGGGGATAAATAGATCTAGCTAGATTTCATTTTTAGAAAACACTGTTGTTGTTGAACACTGAAAACAATGTTTTCCGGCATTGGAAAACTGCTACAATATGACTAGTATACAATGGTAAATTTCACCACCATCTACAAAATTATAATAGCTCAAGCGTTCCAGTAACTAGAGGACCCCGGTTCAAGTCCAGATGATAATTTCTTCTTTTCCTTTTTTCAAATTCATCATTTTGTGAGAAAAAAAAAAAACGAGCAAAGCTCCATCATACAAGTGCTTTTACCTTAGGCGACCAATGCAAATGCTTTTTAGCCAATGTTATATCGGGCCGACGGCGTTGCGGGTCATCCTCAACTGCAGCGCCCGTCGCAACTGTACTGCGACAACCAGGTACTTGATTTTTAATGATAACGGCGAACTCTGCAAAATGCAAAAGGAAATTATAAAATTATCAAACATAATGGTTGTTTAAAATTAAAAATAACATTTAGTTGTAGCATTATATTAAAATAAAAAGGGCACTGAGCTTTAAGCTCTGTGCTACTGATGGGAAGTAGCTGAGATGATGAGGTTTGAGTTGTAGGAAGTATGCAGGCTCTTTATAGAAGCAAAACTTCTTTATGCTTGCTTGACTTGAGGAGTAAGTGATCCGGTGAGGCCAATGGAATTTGAGAGGGAGATGTAAGTTAATGAAGATAGAAAGAGAGAGTTACGCTTCGTATATTACTGTAGGGGCAAGAGAGAGAGGTACAAGCACATATTATCTTACACTTTTTCTCTGTAATTTACAAATCAAATTATTAATTAAAAATATTTATTTTATTTTATATAAATAATTCAATTTATTATTAATGCATTAATTAATAACAATTTATACATATTTTTATTTATATATTCTCTTTTTTAGTTTTACTTCAACAGCATATAAAGGTTACATGCACAACATTTTTGTACAAAAATATGGTTGAACCAACTTATCAAAGGATATTAAGTTAAAAATATGTACCTTCTATGGTGTGTTCTACAGGATTTCCAATATTAACAGGCAAGGAATAACTTGACGCCATTAATGCTAAAAGACCATCAACAAGGTCTGATACATAGCAAAAGGAGCGAGTTTGTTTTCCATTACCATACACCTGAAAAATTACCATAAATTATTCACACATTCACATTTTGTAATAATTATTACTATTATCTAATGATACCACTTTTAAACTGAAAATACAGGTTTTTAATGAATACAAAAACCTGTTGCTTTAATTAGCATTGATAATAAATTTAAAATGAGAATATCACTTTAAAACTCAATTAGTTGAAGTGAAAGGTAACAAAAGAAATTTTAAAAACTCACTGTAATGGTTAAGTTTTGCAATGCTTGCATTATGAAATTGGATACCACACGTCCATCAGAAACATGCATTCTTGGACCATAGGTGTTAAAAATTCTTGCCACTCTTACTGAAACCTTTTCTTGTTTTGCATATGAGTATGCTAAAGTTTCAGCAACTCTTTTTCCTTCATCATAACATGCACGAGGTCCTATAAAGTTTTAACATTACTTGTAGAATTTCTGAACAAAGAACATTTCTGCTTTATTAATCAACTCGGTTATTGTTTAAAATAGGATACACGCGTTTTTCGTTTACAAATATTTTTAATCTGTAGAGAAATATTATTCAAACAATGAATACTAGGTAACTAATAGGCGGAGACACGAAGATTTCAGAAAAAAAAAATTAAAACTAAGTAAATTTGACATTTCATTGTGTGAAATTTAAATTGTTTATAGTGCTAATCTTTGCACTTAAGATTGAACATTAAAATATGTAGAAAAAGTGCGAAAAGATTATCGCCGTTGTGGGCTAGCCGTTTAGCTCAGTGGCCGTGGGTTCGATTCCCACAACGGCGACAATCTTTTCGCACTTTTTCTAAATATTTTAATTTCATTGTGTGCAAAATTAGTTTTTATTTGTAATTTCGTTCCTTGCGGTGAATAACGTTCAGTGGTAACGAAATTTGATTTTATTATTGAAAAGTGTTAATTTTTTTGAACATTTTTTTTTCATCTGAATGGTTTTTTTTTTGTTGTAAAATACAGTTGCTTAAATTAACATTATTATACATAACTTAGGTTCAACATTAAATTATTTGAAATTGATAGGTTAGGTTCGTTAGATGCACATTTTTTATACGGAGCTCTGCAAAGTGGTACAATATGCACTTTTAACGAAATTTTTTTTAATCAAAATCTACATGTCTCTGCCTATTAGTTACTTGGTAATTATTGTTTTGATGATGTTTCTATATTGATTAAAAATTTGTAAGCAAGTAAAGCGCGTTCCCCTATTGTAAACATTACTTTAAATTAATAAAGTGGTAAAACATAAATCACAAGTGTCACAAAATATTGATTTAGATTGTTGTTATTCAATCACTGTAATACTGGGAAATCAAAATTGGTGAGATAATGATTATTCTAAAATTAATTACAGTAATAATGATTAAAAAATATTTTAACAATTCCAACCTATTGGATTCACATGGCCCCAGTAGGACTCAGGTTGGGGATGTACCATAGGATCTCCATACACCTCTGAAGTACTGGCAATCAAAATCTTGGCTCCAACTCGCCGAGCAAGACCTATATGAAAAAATAAATAGTGGATGCATTTATGAATATGATACAAATTCAGGTTTGTGAAATATTGTATGTAACATTGATTTGTAACTTACCTAACATGTTAATTGTACCCAATGTGTTAGTCTTGATTGTTTTAACTGGATTTTGCATGTAATGAGGGGGACTTGCAGGACTTGCCAAATGATATATTTCATCTGCCTGAAAATAAAAAGAAATAAAGAAATTAAAAGAATAAACATGCATTAATGTTTATGACAAAAAGTAGATCACATACAAGTTTACAATTACTAATAACTAAATAAAAGGGATAAAGGGAGCAAGGGCAAGCACAAATAAGGATATTTAATAAATGACAAAATACACAATTGAAATTACTTTTTCAAATACTTATTAATATTATTAATTTCATTACTAACCTCAACATACAATGGATTTACAATATCATGGTGTATCATTTCAAAGTTACGATGCCCAAACCAATGTTCAACATTACGTTTTCGTCCAGTGAAGAAATTATCAACAACGATTACTTCATGCCCTTGCATCATTAACACATCAACAAGATGTGATCCCACAAACCCAGCCCCTCCTGTAACCTAAGACATTAATAAACAGAACATATAAACAGCAGAAAATAAACTGTACAACAGGTTTACTTTTAATTTTTTCTCTGCAAATGTTTTTCTACTTTATATCAATTGTCAGTTCAGAGCATAAAGCGTGGTTGCTGTATAGACCCAATATGATCTATGTTTTATTCATATACTAGCTTCTTTTCTTGTAAAATGAAATAGTATAATAACTTACCAATATGCGTTTTCTTTCCTTAAAACCTAAATATTTAACATCTGGATATTTTTGGGGTATTCTTCCTTCCAGAATCGCTATTTTCTTCTCCAATTGTTCAATGCGGGCTTTGGCCTCTTGAAGTTCATGTTTCGTGCCTTCATCAGCAACATTATTTGATTCCATCTTTGTTTCCTTCTCTCCAAGGACATAAAATGCCTTCTTTGGTTTTTGCTCAAACTCTCTGTATGCTATATCCTGGAAATCATCATCTAGTCTTTGGTTTCGTATTTTCAGTTCACTATCATTAGTAATTTTATCTTTTCTAAGAATAAGAAAAATTAACACCACTGGAAAACAACAACAAATCTTTTAACAGCATTAAACTTATTTAGTTATTGTTAAAGAAAAATAGAACAAAGCTTTCCCTTTCACTTTGTAAACAAATTAAATAATGTTATTAGAAACCTAACAATAAGCATTTATCAAGTTTTACTTACGCAAAGACAAAACACATACGATGGTTATAGTCTTTCTAAATTTTAAGGATTGTCTTATCATCTCTGAAAGTATTACACTTATTTAATGCGGTTTACATTTCTTCATAAATATTTTAAGTTGATTGTCATTACACATTACATTTAATAATATTGAATTTTGATACAATCTAATATGTTTTACGCCAAGTACGGCGATATCATTGACGTTTTCGGTAGGCACCGACCGATCTTTAACAATTTGACAGATGACAATGACATTTTCCTCCATAACCTCTGTCTTATACAAGGCTGCATTTATGTACGTAAATTAAAAAGTAGTACACTATTATTTTTAGCTTAACATAGTCATTAAGATGACTTCGTGGCGCCGTCGTTAAGAAATTGGCTTTGAAATTAAGTGTCATGGTTTCGATTCCCACACGGGATAATTATTTGTTTTACCCACAGATAATTCTCCCGTTTGTTGAGAATCCTAGGTGGGAAAAGGGCAGGAGGATGATGATGATAGTCAATAAGATCAACACTAATTCATTCAATTATACTATACTAGCGACCCACCCCGGCTTCGCACGGGTTAACACTTATAAACCTTTCTTGAATCACTCTGTCTAGTAAAAACAGCCGCATCAAGATCCATTGCGTATTTTTAAAGATCTAAGAAAACATACGGACAGACAGACAGTGCGAAGAATTTGTTTCATACTATGTATTATATTATATCATACACATATACCTTCCTCTTGAATCACTGTATCTAGTAAAAGCCACATAAGAACTACGCAACGGTAGTTTTAAAGATCTATGCATACATAGGGACAGACAGACAGCGGGATGACTTTGTTTTACTCTTTAGTGTTTAGTATATACCTATTGGGGACGATGTTTCTCTGTTTCTTCCTAACACCTCTGCTTTTTTGTATATACTGCCGGTCTATCGACATTTTCATGTTTAAATTATTTTTTCCGTTCGAATTTTAAATAAGAATGGTACGGCCGTAAGAATACTATAGCTATAATATAATAAAATGTAACTGATCGTTGTCTGTACATGGAAGATATTTCAGAAAAACTATTATTGGGGGCCTTTATCAATGTAATAGAACGCTAAACAATTATTGTGGGTTCTATTGCGTCTTAGTAATATGGCCCCGTTTTAACCTTTGTGTACGGAATCCTAAAAATGAATAGTTTTAACACTTCCAATGTACGTTGATGGACCACAGAACTTTATAATTCGTCTTATGTAATAACACCTTGGCTGCGGCATATAAAATCATAAACCATCATCTGGTGCAGCGGCCGGTCGAAATGCGCCCCCAACGATATTTCCGTCAGTGCGTGGCGGGTTTTTCTCGACCTATTTTTTGGTTAGATTAAAATTATATAACTTTGCGAAAACATGATGTATACAAATTTTTTGTACTGTTACAATGACCTTGGTCCCAATTTCCTCAGGTTCTATTCGCCCATGGATCTGTTAAACAGAAAATGAACCAAAGAAAGTAGCGGACCGATATCGACATGAACCGCACTAGAAAGTATTTTTAGTAGTGATGAGACGGACAAAAAAAATCTGTACTTATATTATAAAACTGAAGAGTTGTTCGCTCGCTAATCTCAAGGACTACAGGTCCGATATTTTGCAATGTTATATGGCCTATTTATAGAGGTGAAATGCCCCTATTTTTTAAGCCCGATATAAAATGTAGTACATGCAGGTGGAGCCGCGGGCGAAAAGCTAGTATATACTATAATAGCCGTACTATATGAGACATGTATGAGCTCTACTTATGATTATACTCTACTCTACTTAGATGGCACTATACACAGTAAAATTATGCAAAGTTAAAAAAACATTTCTTATCCTTTAAACGAGCAATTCTTGTATATATATATATATATACAGCGTGTCGTTACCATCGCGACAATAAATGAACACATATATAGGGGATAACTTTTTAAAATTTTATTAAACATTAACATTCTTTAAACATCAATATTTACAGAGTTATTAAATTTTCCAAAACAAAGAATTTTAGAACACCCTTACCTATAAAAGCGTAACGTAAATTTCATTTGTAAAGGTCACAAAGCATATGAATGGGTTGAATGAATTTAAAGGAGACAAAACATACTGTTAGAAGGAGAGGCTTGTAATACGACGCTGTGGCGCGTGTTTTATAGGATGTTACAAATTTTGTTTCTTTTTACTTAATTAGTTTGTTTGAAAAATATTTTTTTTTATTATGGATTTTGTTTAACGTTAATATTTTTTATGATTATTGGCAAGTATCGTTAGACGTGTGTTCATTTATTGTCGCGTTGGTAACGACACGCTGTATATATATATATTGGAATCTCGGAAACGGCTTCAGCGATTTTCATGAAATTTAGTACGTGCGTAGATTCGAGGGCGAAAAATCGATCTAGCTAGGTTTCACTTTTAGAAAATGTCCTTTTATCCCTGTTTTCAGGGAATGAAAAATATCATTTGAATATGACGGTAAATTTCGCCGCAAAAGAAAATGTCATAATTGCTCGGTCGGTAATCGGGCGGCCCCAAAACAGACGGCCGTGGTTCGTATCACGATCATTTACACACTCTTTTTTTTTACTTTTTTCGATTCCAGATCCTTGCTTTCTTTATTTTTAATTTTTTGTCGATTTGTTATTTTGTTATTATTTTCCCTTTTTTTTTAAAGTTCTTTCTTTTGTGAAAAACATTAGTTCATATTTTCTTATTATTACGTCGGTAAGATCGAAAAATATTATGCATATTTCATTACTCAGTAATTTGTATCTAAATATAATTTCCAAAATACACGATTTACCAAAAAGAAAACAAACCGAGCAAAGCTCGGTTCTCCGGGTACTTAGATACTTAGGACTTTGTTTTTTTTTTTTAATGCGAAAAGTTGTCAAACGAGCAGACGGTTCACCTGATGTTAAGTGAATACCGCCGCCCATGGACATCTGCCACACCCGAGAGTTACAGATGCGTTGACAACCTTTTGAAAATTGGGCTCCGGCTACCTCACTCACCAGACGAAACGTGAAAGTATTTGTCATACTTTCCCTTTACGCTGGTCTTCTGTGAGGTCGTGGTACTTACCCGGACGGGCCTGCCCATTCGTGCAACAGCCGAGGCTGCTGCGTGGCCCTACCACCGTTAATGTTGTTTGATCGACCGACAGCATTACATGATTACAGAATACAGCGTGATTACAACCCAGAAAAGGCTAAAGTAAAAGATATGGATAGTGTATAGTATGAAGTATGAAATCATAGTACAAATACTTTATTTGTAGTACAAAATCCAACCCTGGTTTTACATACTAAGTAGCGTACAGATAAGGAGGACAATCTTATTTTGGGGATAAATTGAATTTGATGTTTGTGTGCGGTAAGTAAAAACAGTTCCAAAACTGACTAGAATAGTGTTACCCTAACTAAGGTGTATGATAATCTACTTAGCCGAGTTGAATTTGAGTAGCTAGAAGCCATTGTAATTTTCTCTATAACGTTATTTCATTTTCCTTGTTGCAATCGTATTAAGTAAAGAGTGTAGATGTAAGTAAAGTGTTGTTACTATAGCAAGATGGCGTTGTTACTGTAGCAAAATTACTACATTTTAAAGAAAGCGTTGTTGACTTGTTACGTTGTTAATTGAACATTCAGGTCAATTAATATTAAGCTCTATTGATTCAACTCTTAAGTGACATTATTATATTATTGAACGCTTATTGTCCACATTATTATGGATACTTATCAGTTAAAACATATGACAAACTACTCCTTATCTCTATACCTCTACGTAATTACGACCGCGGTTTTAATTGAAGATAGGGACTTGTCGTTACACTAAAACGCTAGCTAACAAGCAAGTACTGCAAAAGTTCGACGGGGACAAAGAATAATTTAATGGAAAGTAGATCCACGGCGCCCCCAACGTAAAACAACTTTATTAAAAGGTGGCAATGTATTTGCATTTAGCATTCTCCTGGCTTCCATGACCTCTGGGCAATGGATACGGGGGAGTCCATTGCCCATCCAAAAGAGGCCGAGTAGGTAGCTGGCAGGGTCGCGGAAGTGTGCGTAAGTGCTCCCGTGGCCCTGCCGATTTGCACTCTAGGTGTAACATAGGGATGCCGATAAAATATCAATATATCGATATATCTTTATTTTTATAGAGTATATCGATATTTTTAGCCGATACATTTTGATCCGATATATCAACATTCATTTTTTCAAATTCGAATCCGGGACAGAGTCTGTACATTAAAATATTTAATACTTGGCTTGTTTTTTTTGGACAACAGGGTCTAAAAATTACTTTTTATGTACGGATATATCAATATATTTTTCACTTTCAGCATCCCTAGTGTTACATCGTGGTGGCTTTAGCTGGTGCGATTCCGACCGACATAACCAGCCATTGCCCCCGCGAGGGCGGTTATGCCTAGGCATTTGATCTACGTCAACAAAAAAAGGTCCCACTATCGATTGCCAAGCCGAGGTTCTAACTTTGTTTCCCTTGGATCTTCCCCCCACTTATTTGATTTTCCATCTGTCGTCTACAGGGGTCATCGTGCACCAACTTCGTTGTTACGTCCTGGGTCCATAGGTCGTCTACCCGCTGTTATTAAATTATAAATTTGTAAAGAATTCTATTTATTTAAGATAGATTATATTGGAAAAAATTAATAAAATTTAAAAATAAAATTTAAATTGAGGTTTTTTTTGAAAACGCATGATAATAAATAAAATAATTTAAAGCAGCGCATAATAAACCATTTTTGCGATTAAAATTGAAAATATCTTTATTTCCAATAGACGCTTGCGCGTTCTTATGAAACCTTGAAATTTTTGCATAAAAATTAAATCATAAATTCATAAGTAATTTACCACGATGCAACATACAAAGTAGCATTGGTTGCGCATGAATAAGTTTTATTTATTAGGCATGGCCATTTGGCCAGTGCTTAAAATGCTGTTAGAGAAATAAATTTTGTAAACAAAAAGAAAAACCAAGAAAATTTGGTCTAAAATAGTTACCTGTGGGACACTGTGTTGTAGTTTTTTAAAAAAAAAATAACTCAATTACCTAACACTTAGGTAATGGAGTTTAAATTTAAAATGTTTAACTTAAAATGTTGCTTTTTTTAAGTGTTTGGTATCTTAAACATTTAAATGGAATATTAAATATTCAGTACTACTATATGTAAATTAAATAAATGTAACTTCTTTGCCTTACCTCGGGTTTCACCAACTACCGATCACTGCCAAAAGAAAAATGATACTGTTTTTCGGCTTTTGACTCGCATTTTACCAGCGATATAAATGATGTTATAACAAGTTCACAAATCCTGTTTTTATTTATAAAGAGTATTAAATAAAAGTTTAACGTAGATAGACAATCACATTTTAGTTACATGATATCGATGTTAGAATGGTTGAAAATAAATTTTCAATCCATAAATTTTAGAGATTTATTATGATAAAGCAATGAAAGTGAAAAAGGTCTTTTAACATAATATATTACATTTTTAGTTAACATAATTTATTACAAATTTATGAAAAACTGATCATTATACAATGAATTTCTTTACTTACTACTTTTTAACATTTTTACTTATCGGTCATTATCAGACTGCTGTTTGTTAATTGCGATCTAAGTCTCGATCGATCAAAATCGTTCAAAGTCTTTAAAAACAAAAGGAAAAAAAAGCTGGGCCTAATAAGACCTAATAAATAATTATAATATGACCTTACTAAACTTTGTCTGGCAATGTAGTCTGTTTTGAGAGTTCCTTTTGTTTTGTATGATTACTTTCATTTCATTTCTGAGATTAAAGCTTCGTCTACTACTGAAACTGGTAAAAGAATATTTTCATCATTCCCTGTATCTTTCTCTATAATTACTTATTTTTCCTATTTATGTTTTTATTAATTTTAAGTTTGCTTTCACTTTAAGGTTTCCATGAGTGATCTACGTATTAAATTAAATTAAGAAAATGATGGTATCAACTATCAATCTTCTTTCGTAGTCTGTTCATGTTAAACTTATATAAAACTAGCTGCTGACCGTGACAACGTCTGCGTACAATAGGCTGAAGGCGTAACTTTTAGACGGAAAGATAGATATACATAAAATATGAATATAAATTATAGCCTATGTCTTATTCTGGTGTATAAGCTATATTATTGTAAAGTTTCATTAGAATCCATTGAGTAGTAAACAACAAGCTCAAACATCCATCCATCCATACAAACTTTCGCCTTTATAATATTAAGTAGGAAGTAAGGATTACAATAATCTGAGGTGTACTTAACTTCATTAATTGTGTGCAATAATTAGTATAGCATCTGCAATTGAACTCAATGAATTAAAAACAAAAATGCGTTTAGTATTATTTTATAATGCATCACTTTAATTTCCTTATTACAGCTTCATACATCGTGTGTAAAAGGCGGGTATTATACAGTGATTTGGTACGAAGTTAATAGTGAAAAAGAGCCTCTATAAGGTCTGAGCCGTCTGAGCACACAAAACATATTTTTCTTAAATTTTATACAGCATACGATACACTTGACAGTTGTTCATGTAAAATATGTATATAACGTTGTTTACTAAATTTTCCCCTTTAAAATTTTCAATCGAGATTGTAATGTTAGTGTTTAAACAATTTCTATGGTTTTTTCAACCGAATTTAAATGTCGTGTATGTAGCGCAGTGAACCCTAGTCAATGATAAGATAAATGAACATCCCATTACATTAAAAGAAATGCTTATCTTTTCAGTTGAATAAACGTTAAATATTTATACGCCACGAATATTAATTAACTGTATCTTTATTTTTTCATGTTTTCTTCTTTAATTCGCTTCTTTTTGGATATTTTTTTTATCCAATTATATTAAACACGGTTACGTTATATATTAAAACTTATGTTGTAAACAGTCTCGTCTTAAAGCTATAGGCTTGTCCGGTTGGTCGGAAAAGAGGCCGTCAATTCCAGTCGCAAAGAAGGCTCTTAGTTCACCGTTCAGGTCACCAATTGCATCCTTCGAAGAGTCCCTACTCCTGTACTCCGCAGGCAAAAACGTGTTCTCAGCGCGGAATGTGTACGGATGCACTTTCAAACCTGTTGCGTGTGCATCGTGGACAAAGTTCGTGGGTTCCCCTAAAGTTTCATTGGCATTACGAGGAATTATGTAGCTCTTATCTGGCCCAACAGCATAAGCATATTTGGCTACTTGTTTTAGTCCATCTGGTGTTGCCATATCTCCATACGTAAGTCCTGTACCAGCAATGACTTGGTCAAAAGGCTGATCAGAAGGGTCACTTTCATATAACTGTAATAATCGAAGACCTGTGATAGTTTTAAGATATTTCAAATTATTCACTTCAAAAGATTGTATATATACAGGAGCTGAGACGCCAAAGTAACCGTTTTTATGAAAAGTTTCAACAACAAGGTTCTCCATCTGTAGTCCTTGGCTTTGGAAGTACGTGCTATGTTTGATTTCAGGATAAATTCCGATGACGCGTCGCTGACTGATCTGCAGGCTTTTGACTAAATCAATTATTTCTTGAAACGTTGGAATCTGGAAAGCACCGTTCATACGAGCATTACCTGGTCTTGTTTCGGGTATACGTTCTACGGCCCGAAGGGTCTTCAACTCGGAGAGAGTGAAGTCCTCCGTGAACCAGCCATCCATTTCTTTTCCGTCAATGATCTTCTTCTTATAGCGATCGGCGAATTCGGGGTGCTGGGCAACGTCTGTTGTTAACCCCAGTTCATTGTCGTGTCGTGCGACTAATTGTCCGTCGCGCGTCATGACTAGATCTGGCTCCACGTAATCAGCTCCCATCGTGATGGCGAGGGCATAAGAGCCGAGGGTATGTTCCGGCACATAACCACTCGCACCTCTGTGCGCTATCACCAATGGCTTACATCTGTCCGCGTTTCGCAACGGGTCCGCAGCTGGTATTGAGGATGGTGCAGTTGAGACTAAGCAGAAGCATCCTGCTGCGGCTAAAAGAAGCCACACTGCAGGCGTCGTTCCCATGTTTAGGTTGTTCTGTGCCAATTGGTTAAAATATATAAACTATACATTTGTATATATATACTTAATTACTAATCACGTTATTTGTTGATATATTTTTGTTTGAGCTATCTACGTCTGGGGGATTCACTAATTTGCTAGGTTATTGCTGTAAGATATTTTTTTAAATAATATTTTATATCTAAATGGATTTTTAATAAATCGATTATTAACAGCGTAACATAAATTTTCAATATTTATTTTGAAATACAATTAAATAAAATTAAGCTGTTACATATGGATTTGTTATATAATAAAAGCTACATACTTGAATTTATCTTGGTCAGCTTAAGACATGAGTTGATTTCTAATAAAGTGAATGTCACGATTTTTTGCCATAAACTCATGTTAACGTGATATTATTACGTTCCGTTGATACGAGTTACTTGTTTATTTTTAGTTCTTTTTATTTTTCTTAGCTGGTTCTTATTGAGCTAGATTATGTTGTACATTCATTTAATGATTTTCATAACAAGATCTTACAAGACTTTGTAGTAGAACGATAGGAGAAAAAGAACCATAAAACAAGAAGAATATATTTCTACTTACTTGTATCAGTGAGGCGCGTTACGCCTCGTTGGTAACACCAGATCACTAGACCACAATATTATAACATGGGAATAGATGTTAATGCGTACAGATATATAGACAAATGCTTAAGCCAATAATAACATTATTCGACATAAATAAATAAATAAAAGCTTAATTTTTTATGAACACTACCTAGCTTGATAACACATGCGATTTAAATGAGACAGGAAATGTAAAAGGAAAATATTTATATACTTAGGTAGGTACTTCAAAGCTAGGTCACGCGACTTAAACATTTCAAGGCTTCAGTGGATATAAATAATAGTATAATAACAAAGGAGTTCCATTTGTATGCTACACCAGAAAATATCAGCTCAAATGTAATAACCTCGTTTTAAGTTTTAAGTACTGCTATGTCAAATTTAATAAAATCATTCAAATTACAATTTATGGGTGTTTTAAACAGGGGGGTTCCTTTTATTTATGGTGTTTCGTAGTATCATAATTGTTCTCTGGTTTGTATTCCATGTACACATACAAGCACACTGTTTCATATGTTTAGACCTAATTGGCTTAGAGAAGCCAGTAGCCCTGGCTTTAGATTAACATATTAACGTGTAGGAGTTAAAATATAGTTGGGTGGATATGTTATTGTATATAGGAAATTTTATAATAGGTCCTTAAGAATAAAGAGGATTATAGTGTTTCCATTATTTTGACTTATATAAATCGCAACTAAATTTTTATAAAGCTGTTTTGGCTTATTGCAGATGATGAAATAACGATGTCTCTTTGATTTAACACCGTTTTATCTGCTTTAATAAAGTTATTTATAAATTCTATTGAATAAAGAAGGACATTGATGAATCTATACAATACCAAATGCGTTTTATTGATCACAGTACACATATTGATTGTCGTCTTTAAATTTGTAAGTTTTAACATTTTATTTTTTTCCTACTATATTAATTGCATGGCAATAAAATAATATTGATTTAGTTTTATCTTTATTAATGTTTTATAAAGATAAAACTAGTACCCTCGCTAGGCGACAAAGTCCGTAGTCTATTGTTTATGAACACGTGCCCCTCACTTGTATAGGTACGTCCGGCTGGTCTGCAAACAATCCATCAATGCCTGTAGCAATGAAAACCTCCAACTCGCCCCTGAAGTCTCCAATGGCCGATTCTGATGGGTCCTCGCTCCGGAATTCAGCTGGCAAGAATGAGTTCTCCGCACGGAAAGTGTACGGGTGTACCGCCAGGCCTGCCGCATGAGCGTCCTGCACGAATTTAGTGGCCTCGCCTAAAGTGTTGTCCGCTTTCCGAGGGATAATATAATCCTTTTCAGGTCCAACAGCTTGAGCGTAGGTTGCGACCTCCTTAAGTCCGTCAGGTGTGGCCATATCCGCGTAGGTTAAGCCAGTGCCCGAGACAAATTGGTCGTAGGGTTGATTCATAGGGTTGCCACCGTACAGTTGTATTAAACGAATGTTAGTCATCCTATTGAGTTCCTTCAAGTTGTTTATTTCGAATGATTGGATATAAGCCGCAGAAGAGGAGCCAATGTACCCGTTGTTATGGAACATATCGACTAGCGGCCGTTCCATACCAAGGTCAATATTCCGAAAGTGTGTGGAGTATTTGATTTCTGGATAGATACCGATAGTGCGCCGCTCGCTTCTCTCCATGGCTTTGACCAGGTCAATTATTTCCTGGAACGTCGGGATGTCGAAAGCACCGTCCATACGCGCGTTGCCCGGCCTCGCCCTCGGTATGCGCTCTACTGCTCGTAAGGTCTTCAGTTCGGCTAGGGTGAAGTCCTCGGAAAACCAGCCGCTGACTGCACGCCCATATATTGTTTGCGTTCTGTAACGGTTTGCGAACTCGGGACGCTCGGACACGTCTGTCGTTAGGCTAAGCTCGTTTTCGTGTCGCGCGATCAAATGTCCGTCACGACTCATCACGAGATCCGGCTCCACGAAGTCAGCCCCCATAGTGATGGAGAGTGCGTAAGCGCCCAGGGTGTGCTCCGGCACGTAGCCGCTTGCCCCCCGATGAGCAATCACAACCAGTTCGCATCTATCGGGGTCGGCATTTGATGTAGTTCGAGGCAGCAGGGACAATGATACGGCCGTAGAGATGATTAAGATCAAAACCGCACCCACAAGTAATGTCACCATAACACTTTTTTTCATCTTGTAATCACTTGTATCTCATTTCACTTTGTATCACACAAACTCTTTCTGCCTGAAAAGTTAAAAAATGAAACGAATATAAAAGAGTGTGTGTATGTACCGAATAGTTGCGGACTTATCGGAGGTCTTTCATCAGGTTGAGTGTGATGAGTTCGCTTTCGCGCCCCGTCTTGCACTGCGCGCCTTCTAAACTCATGTAGAATCGGTACATATACCTATCGATTTTTTTCTAAGTTTAGCCGTTTTATTATTCAGTTTATAATATCTGATGTCTCACGAAATAATTTTATTAAAAAAACATTGGTATTCTATAATAGTCAATATTTTATAGATTTTTTCCAAAAATATTAACTCGTTATTTTTATTTGATAGTATATTATAAGTATTAATTGATTTAGATTAAAGATTTTAAAGTTCAGAATAAAATAATAATTACCTGTGTTGCGTGCTTAGGGTTTATACGGGAACAATAAAAAATGAATTAAACATTACCTCAAAAATCTTGCGATAAAACGGATTCGTACAGATGTAAAGATAATTGTTAAGTCAATTAATTAAAGAATTGTAATAATTTATGCATGCGCATCATAATATATGCTAATATCACAGTTTGGAATTATTCAAATATTTGGTTAAGTATTTTATTCTTAGTTCTGGCACTTGGAAAATCTATTCAAGTTCCATCTCATCCATATACATCGCCGAGTAGTAGTTTAGTATATAATTAATTTGCACTATATTTACACATGATAGTCAATTAAATCATTAAATTTATTATGTTTTAAAAAACTTAAAACGGGTTGTTAAAAAAGAAGTTTGTGAAGATTCATTATTATTTTTATGTCAATCACATTTTAAAGTCAATAAAAAAATAAGCAATTCTAACTCTTTATCCAAACATATATTTTAACCTTATTTAAAAGACTTTTTTTGGCAACGGTGTTTTTAAATATGTATGACAAACGCACCATCTGCAGTCTGCTTGGGCGTGGCAGATAAATAATACATTAATTCAAATTTACGGTTGCTTACATACGATGACTTATAGCGGTTTCTTGCACATGTCCCTAGGTAAGAATGACATAAAATTATAAAAAGGCGATAAAAACGTGTTTCTTCTTAGTTGTGTTCCATTTTATACTAAATATTAATTAAATGAAGGTTTCATGAAATATCTGTCTAGTCTTTGTCTGAAATATATTCAGATGTGCCATTCATTTATGTCTAACGAACACTATATCTAACACAATGTATGCAAATATCAAAGTGCTATGTTAGACATTTTCCTATCGTTTCACAAAGAAATAGAACATATCCAAGCATAGCACTAAGGCGATTTACAGTTCCGCCAATTTTATACAATACCAATTTTACTAATTATAATGGTTTAAATTGAGATTATTTATCATTTAAATATGATTCATCGTTAAGAATGTATAAATTAATAACATCGTAAAATTTATATTTATACACATGTGACCAATCAACAACGAATTTAGGTCGCATAATATATTATTAACATGTTATAATAGACAAATCAGACATACGTACACCTGTTAGATGATTAAATATTCTATGAAATTTTAAATTCTTGAAACATATAAAATGCAAAATTAAATTACGAAAATCTAACGCAATTAGTATGTTACACAAACCCATTTGCGTTACTTTATATAACGGAGGGATGTAGGTATTTATTTACTTACTTCGCTGGCTCAGCGACCCACAGAGGATCTTGGCCTCTAACACTAAAAGTCGCCACTGCTCTCTATTCTGGGCTGTTTTTTGCCAGTTGGCTGATTAGAGGGCGCTATCGACCGATAGGGCGACCAACAGGACGCTTCCCTTTTGGTTGCCCCATATATGCTCTCTTGATGGCAAGATCCTCTCCCATCCTCTCCAATTGGCCGAGCCAATGCAGTCTCGCGGCCTTCGTTTCACCAATTATGTTGGGTTCAGCCATAAGATATTCAATTTTCATATTTTTCCTAATTCTCGAATTGCCATACTCGTCTTTAACCGGTCCCAGAATTTTCCGCAAGATCTTGCGCTTCGCCACTAAGAGCTGATTCTTTTCCTTTAACGTCAGTGTCCAAGCTTCTCAGCCATATATTAAGGTACGTCTGATCACCGTCGTATAGACACCTATCTTAGTTTTCCTGCTAATGAGCTTGGACACTAGGAGTTTATGCATGGATCTTAGGGCGTTTTGTGTGTGGATATTCATTTCGTCCTTGCTCTGGTTGGTTGTGTAATGGGATAAAGTGTAGGTAGTAAGGATTAAATTGTATTGAGATGTTTTTGTTATCCTAGTATCCTAGTGTGTATCTTGTATCTTATATTAACTGATGTTTGTGCTATCAGTCCCGAGACTATTAAAGCTTCATCTGACGCAGAAACGGTGGGCTAGACAGAACCTACGGGATTGGGCCCTCCGCTGTGGGTAGGGCCTTATCCTAGTATATCCTAGTACCCTAGTTTATATGAATTATGAAATGAGGGTTAATATTTATTTTTTAGATTAATTGAAGAAAGGGGAAATATTTTAGGGTACGATCAGATGCTAATATTATATGTTTGCAATAGTGAAATCAAGTACTAGCTTGTAATATAATTAACAGTCGTTCTAATAATTATGATATTTCGGAATATTATTCATAATTTTAAAGTACACTTCTAACCTAATTGTAAAAATGTACTTAAAGGTTCGTTTTATGATTAAACAAAGTTGTATTTTAGCATATAGACTCTTGTTCTATATAAATGAATTGACAATGATGCATTGAGTACAAGCTTACTAATCACCTGCCGTGCTTGGACCTTGATATTTTTAAAGAGGAAATAAAAAAATATTATTGGTAAAGTATTTTTTCGACGACTATACTACTAAGATAAGACTTGAAGTGTGTCTGATATCGAGTATTACATTTGAAGAATGTATATGATAAGATGTTTACATGTCAGCGTAGTGATCTTAAATAAAACCAAATGACAGTGAAGAACCTGAGTCCTAGCTCTCTATACGGCATGGTGTATAAGGTTATACTTGAAATAGCAGGACAAATTTATGTATTGAAGGAAAGGTCGTTTTCTTTGTTTTGGTAAATTGTAACTTACATGAAATAAATGCGAATTAAACAAAGAAACAGGCATTTTTCTATTACATTTTTGATCTACACGTTTACCTACGGCTTAGAATGCATTAAATAAACGCAATAATCATCATCTACAATTTATTGAAAAGGTAAGTTAGGGTTGCGTTTCCTAAGTGTTAAAATTGACAACGTAGGATTTTCTTCCGGAAACTACATCTACATTGGATATTGATACTTTCTTATATAGTTGAATTAAATATTTCTTTATATTAGAAAACATAGGAAAATATATAATTACGTTACTGCTGTGTTTTACACCGCTCCGCACGAGATAAAGTTGCGAGCATAAGACCCGTTTACGGTTAGAATTCTGATTACCGATATCAAGGTGAGACTCTGTACTTGAGAGGTATTTATATGTATATATTTATTTAACAACTTTTATTGAGACAATTATAACTGAATTGTTTTAATTGACGTCAATATAACTTTTGATATTACATAAGCTCAGCTATAGAAGCGACCCTCGCAGGCTATCTAAGGTCAATCAATTTTTATGATTACACGTTTATTAATGTCAACTAGGAAACATAATTATATATATAAAATATATTATATATTTTAAAGGGTTATATTGAGTGTTACGTTAAGAAAGAAATTGTACATTGAAACAGTTTTATTTTATAAAAACGAATAAAGGTCTATATTTTTATGTAGGGAGTCTATAATAAAAAATAAACTTTAACTGTATTGATTTAACTGTGTAACTATAAGACACTGTTTATTTTTACTAAATTCGCACAAGCCGATTGGAATACTACAAGTAGACGATGATCGAGGACATTATTGTTGAATAAATGCTTTTATTAAAACCGAACACATCCCCCGAGGCACATGGAACGAAACCCCTGTGTGTTGACACAGAGATTTATTGTTAGGGTTGAAACTTTATTTGATCAATTGAGTGTAATTGTTAATAAAAATAACATTTTTTTTGTGATTACATTCTTCGTATTCAACATACTTTCAAACTTGTATGGAAAATCGATGCTATATTAACTTGATTCTTGTATGGATCGTGGAGTTACATTATTAGAAAAGAAATCCCGCGTATATTTTAAAATGTCTGATATAAAAAAATGGTTGAAACTCGATAAAGTAGCTAATGGTGAAAGTGTAACATTGTTTTTAAAATAAACTTTGCTATTTTCTTTTTGCGGCACGTACAAACCTAGATAATTACTCGTTTGTGAGGCCTTATCGAAAATGTTTGGATATAATTTTTAACACTTTTATTGCTGCATATCGTTGGATAAGATTAGAAAGTCAGTTTAATTATCGTTATAACTAAACACAATTTATCAAAATTGAGTGAAACGTAACAAACTAGAAATACTATAACTTGAGGGCAAAAAAGTTTATTTTTATCAGTAAATATTATATGAAAATAAAATTAGTACTTATATATTTATATTCAAATTTAAATATCTTTATTCAATATTGAAGCCTACTTATTGATTGTGAAAAGGATCCGGGAAAAAAAATCAGCGGGACATAGTTTTTTTTATCAGGGTATGGTAGAACCAATTATAGATGTTTAATTTTATTCTTAAGTAATTCGTAGCACAATTCTTTGCAAGTTGGCAACCCTTAAAGAAATGCGTCTAAAGGATCCCCCGGCGTGCTATCCCTGGCGAAATTCGTTTGTTTTTTCCACCTACCCTCGCCACTATACGATGTCTCTAATCCTTGCAGATCGAATTAATAAACTTTGTCGTTAATCATTATCGTAAGCTGCGAATACGGAATTAGACGTTGATTACAGTAAGGGTGAATGGCTAAGTCCAGTTTATTAGGACCGGAAGATTTACTGCCGTATAAAGAACTTTATTATTTTTTGATTCA